ATGTCACTTTTTTTTACCTCAGAACTGGAACTATGGCTAAAAATCGCAACAGCTCATCAAAAATAGAGAAAAGATTGGGGGGGGGAAAGCGATGTTCGGTCTAAAAGTACAAGATACTGGGGCTATTTTAGTAGCCTAGTTACCTTCAACCTTTTATAACGCCAGCTAACCTGGTGTGATTCTAATGGAGTGGCCATTATGCAGCTTTGGCCACAGCTAATTATGATTATTTTGAGTGGGTTTGTTGATATGCATTTTAATATATTTTTTTAAACAGATAGAGATGGATCAGATTATCCAATAATTTTACTTTTATCATGAGGTTAATATTCAGCACATTTATGATGTACTTAAATAAGCGTCATTAAAAGCAATTACCATTACACAGTATTTGCAGTCCTTCATCATCGTGCTAATTTGACTTTGTTAAAGACATTCTCTTCGGACATAACTGTCTAGTCATGAGACATAAATTCAGTTATTCTAAACAAATCACTGCTGACTGGTGTCATGGTTTTCAGAAGAGGAAAACCTTAAAGACCTCGTAGAGAACCTTCACTTTTGTTTTAATCTAAGGCTTAATTTTCTTGATAAAGGCAGTAAATTAAAGAAAAGGCTATTTACCTAATGCATGACAATTAAAAACACACTAGAGAAAATGTGCATTTAAAAAAAAAAGATTTTATCTCAAGACAATACTCACGTACATATTCACATCAGAGAAATAATACAAAAATACTGTAGAAAAAGCAGATTTCATGTAAAAAAAACCTGCACTTTTGGAATGAAGCAATTACATTTTCAAGTAGTGGTGGCAAACTCTCTCTCTCTTTTTTTTAATACATATAACACTATGTACATTCATTAAAACCCAGACGATAACCAGTCTGGAGCAACAGTTCCTAAATGTACTCAGTCAGTCAAAATCATCTTTGCTGTTGTGTTCTGTCTTGAATGAGGTATACAGTATTTTTTGAAGACCTCATTAAGTCGTATTTTTCTCTTTAGTGTCTGAACGTCAATTTTTTTAGGGCAGTAAATCAAATTCACTCAATACATTGGATAGTAATGATTGTTCAAGCATAGTATTAAACCTCTGGTCATGATAAAAGTGCTGGACTTAATGCTGAGGTTTACAAACACCCATGGTCGGAACGATGGACATTTATGTTAATTCTCACACAGCAGGTGATTCTTTCTCATTGATTCTATTTGAGTGTGTGTATAATTTATTATTTGTTTTGGTTTTCCTAATGAGATAAAGTCTACAGTTATTAACAGAACCACAGGTATATGAATACAGACAACTATAAGTCTTCTTTCACAGCTGTTTCCTTTAAGGTAGATGCCTCAGAATTCAAAATATGAAGTACTGAACAAAAACTAAACAAGTATACAGTTAAAACTTCAAGACAGACCTTAAACAGACATCTGTTTTTGACCTTGACCTTAAACAAAGGCTGTAAAACACAGATGATTTTACCAGTGTCCTGAGAAATAAAACATGTCCCAGTGGTTTGAAAGCTGACTGTTGGTTGATGGGAGGTATTTCATTGTACCTGTAAACACGATGAAATGTTATTCAAAAAGGCTCATTGATAAACATTTTCCCTTGTTTGTTTTAAAGCACAAAAAAAAGAAAACAACATTGATGGAACAGTGCAGACTGACAGAAGGGAGAAACATTGTCCAGAACTGAAGGAAAGTGCTGGAGGACGATGTCGGAGCAAGTGGTCTGTAAATGCCCCAGGGCCATGAGACCACCGCCGACTACAGACTGAGAAACCCCACACCGGCCGGGTGTGCGTCCTCCTCCCTGTCGCCCTCTTCACTTTCCATTTCGCCTCCACTGTGTGCTGCTGCATTTTTCCTCTTCACTTGTCTGCTGGAGGTGCCCCGGGGCCTATGTGTGGGCACCAAAAGACGGAAGCCCAGTTGGCCGCAAGCCTCATCCAGAACAGTGGTAAAGGATTGAAAGAGAGGCATGAGGGACGAGGAGGAACATGAGGATGAGGAAGAACATGAGGATGAGGGGCTGACGCTGGGGACAGAGGAGTATCCTGAACTATGAACAGAGAGGGACGGGTCTCTGTTCCCCATGTTTACGTCACAGAAGCTGTCTTCATCACTGGACAAGGCCCTGCAGTACTCTGATCCCACGTCTGTGTCCGTTTCTGTCAGTGGATGCAGTTGGACTGAAACCATTGAACCTGTTGCAGGAAAAGAGTGGGTTTTAATTATTCAGGCAGAGTTTAAGTGTGTGCAGCTGATGTCATCCATCTACATCTCACCACTGTACTGCGTGCATAATATTAAGGCCTTAATATATGAACTTGCTTACTGTGCTGGACACTGGCTGAGTCATCATGACTCACAATTTACTTAAAGACTGAATCATCTAAATGTATATAAGTCAGTATCAAGGTCAGACATTAGTAAGGGTTTAGGACAAAATGCCCTTAGAATGTTTAGGACTGTACTCACAACTACAACTTGGTAAAGTCATTTAGAAAAAAAGGAGAATAAACTGTTAGATATTTAGGTCTGTCAGTCTGAAGTCTGAAAAGTATGTACTCCAGGAGAGGGTAGGAAAAAACCCCCAAAGAAAGGTCTTTTCAACACTTACAATCAGCACCCGTCTCTCCTTCGCTTTCTTCTTCTTGGTCCCCTTCATAACCTGAGCAGGAAGTGTCCAGACTCCAGTCCAACATGTCCCCCAGCAGCGTCTCCTCCTGATTGGACAGCTCTGCTGTGGGCGTGGCTATGAAGCTGGCTCTGTGGGCCTGCATGCTGTTGTCACGCCTCCTGTGGGGAGAAAAGTGAAAAGACGGAAAGGGACCAGTGAGTCACTACAGAATCTCACAGATGGCAAACAAACAAAGGCAGAACTGAACGGATCTCAGATCTGTGTGTGGTGGAGCACAGGTGACTCAGCAGCATCTTAGCTACAGAACGAGCAGGAGGCAGCAGAAGAGTGGGGCTCACTTGTCAGATTAGTTTTAATTTCCCATAAGTCACGAGTGTTTAAAAAAAATAATAATAATATATATATATATGTTAAGGGATGATATTTTTGTGTGCTGGAAAGTCGTTTACCTTTTGTTAGTGCTAGAAGGAGAAGCCATGAAAGTGTGGATGTCTGTTGGCTGACCAGTGGGGCTGGGAGGCTCCATCTGAGGCTTCACCTCAGGAATCTCCAAGATTTGACACAGTTCTTTGTAATCCATCACCTACAGGCAGCCACGAAAAACAAACATTACACAGCGAAAACACAACAACGTGTCTTATTTGAAAATTATTGAAAGACAGAAGTCAGTTACAGTAATTTAATCTGCCAAAGAAAATAAAACCATCACCTTTTGTCTGCTGATGTGCTGGTAAGCTTCATCCTCAAACCTTTGCTTCACTCCAGTCAGGGAAACATGTCTGTAGTCTTTTGGAACATCCTGGCTGAAACTGCAGGTGACAAGAGAAAAATGAAACCTTGTTACATTCAAACATAAACAGGTTAGTGGATGCAGTCATCACTAATCAAAGTGAGTCACTGTAAACAACATCACTGTGACTCAATAGGTGATTCAGTAATGGCATTGTGAAACCACATGCTGCTGATGGAATTTCATGCCTGCAGATTTCTGAGCACAACACAACCCCCAATGGACGGCCATTTTTTTTCCCTCAGTCTCACACACATACACAGACTGTATGTAGCAAAAATACAAACTGCTCCACTTTTGGAAGAGGCTGCAGGTGTTCTGCTTCAAACGCAGAGGTGATGTCATCTGTGTCACAGGCAGTTTGTTGATGATGATGGAATAAAAAAGTCCTAGGAAACACTGAAAAACTCACCACTTGACATAGAGCAGCACACAGAGGGAGACGAGGTCCTGCTTGGAGAAGCCTGTGTGGTCGACCAACTGACTGGGCCAGAGTGGAGCTGCAGAGACAGAGAACAGAAACATGAATCACAGTGAGAAAAAAAAACCAACCTTGGACTCAGTAGAAACTGTAAATCAGCTTTGTTTGGAAGGTACTGTCTGAAACAGGTGTCAACGTTCAGAGAGGGGTAGCCCATGTTTTCAGTTGGACATGTTCTGTGTGTGTAAGTGTGTTAGGTTAATGTTATTACCATAGTGATGTAGTGCTCGTGTAAGCAGTAGTGCAGCACAGGCCAGTTTGGCAGGTGGCGGTGTGGAGAGGGCGCTGTAGAGCAGCGACAGTTCACAGATGTAGCTGAAAAGGTGAGAAGACCGACTTTCCAGGGGTAGAAGAGACAGAAGTACCTCCCCATAGTCCAGCAGTGTGGGGCTCTGAGGGGGGAGAGGTAAAATTAGTCCAATGACACAATTGTGGCACTGAGACAGATTTTCATGACAGGAGATTTAATTTCTCTTTGATTTGTAAAGTAAAATCAAAGTTAGAACTGGGTTTTATTTCCATTTTTTTTAAACACCAAAAGAATTATTCCCTTACTGTGAATTCATATCACATGATTTTTAATTAGTTATTTGTTATTCATATAGCACATCATTACAGACATAGCAGAGTCGTGTGTTGTGGAGGTGAAACTGGCTAAAATACATGAAACACTTAGAATTTAGAATATGCAATATTAATACATCTTAAACTCACTCTGATCTTTCCCTCCAGCACAGAGACCACCTCTCCCATCATGCGAACCAGGTCCTCATATTGGTAGGTGTTGTCAGTGAGCCAAACTGCTTCTCGTATTGTGAGGATTTCTTTACTGACGTAGCTGAAAACGACAGTATATAAAAATTATTGTATGTAAAAAAAAAAAAAAAAAAAAAAAAAAAATCTCAACTCAACAACAACACAGGAAGCAGATTCTCACCGTGTACAAACCACCATGCAGGCAATGCCCAATAACTGAAGGCGAGCCTTGGGCACGGAGCGGAGAGCCAGGTATCTATCCACACAACCCACCGTCACATGGAGGGTCAGGCTGGAGAAGTCCTTCATGGTGGTCACCTCCACCAGCCAGTCCACCAGGATGTACCTGAAGGAGTTTTAATATATTTAATGAAATTGTGGGCCTTATCAGAACATTTCTTTGTAATGTCAGTGGTTGATCACAAGGTTTCAGTCTCTTCTATCCTAGAGTGTATTGTACTGTAATCATGGGTAAAGGCGGCCACATAATAAGCGATATCACATCATCAGAAATCAGTGAGTCATCAAATCGACTCTAATACGAATATTAAATTAAATCCAAAGATGTCGTTCACAGAGACTGTTATTCATGGTTCAGTCTATATGTTCTCATCTACCTCATAGTGTCCTTGATGCCTTGTCTGAGGATGCTCTGAGAACAACGCCGTGACGACGGGTTGGAGGAGCAAAAAAGTTGGGACACCAAGTCAGAGCAGGCTCTCGCCTCCAAACCCAGTGGATTTCCAGTGCTGCACACTTTGGCCAGAGAGAGCTGGGAGAACAAAAGGGAAAACAAGGAAGAATTTAAATCAAGTGAAACTTTGTCAAATCACAGTGCACTGTGACATAGTTGATGACAGGTTGATGTAATTACAGACCATCAGACTGTGATGTGTCACGAGTTTTTCATTTTTTGTGTGACAAATTTTGGAATTTAAAAGGGCAACAGAAAAATGTCATCAGCTGTCACCACCTTTTGACTCTGACTGAAAGAACAAACTCAAAATTGTCTCTCTGGCCAAATGGAAGTATGACAAATAAATCACAAGCTTGACAAGAAGAAAACCTCCAAGAATACCAAGCTGTCGTCTTTCACATTGTCTAAGAAAATGACATGGTGCACTAATGCTACAGACTGACACGGTGGGTCGAGTCCATAGCAGACTTAATCAGAACAAGAACATTTTTAATCTGTTCCTGGATGATAATCTACTTTAAATAACACACCTGTGCCTCCCAGCAGCCTTTGCCAGCATAGTCCCTGAGGGTTCGGACACACTGGAGGTATCGGCCTGGATCTGCCATCTAAAAAAACAAATACATAAACACATATATATATATAAACACATTTTGAAACTTAAAAATAAAGGAGACTTCATTATTGATTATATAATTGTAATATAAGAAAATCAGATGAGGAAGAACATCTTTGCCTACAACTACACAGACTCACAGCTGCTCTACGATTGTGTTCCCACAGCATGTAGGAGCTCTGAAGACAGCCTGCCTGCGCAGATTCTTCCAGCATGGACAAAGCCTCAGACTGCTTTACTTCATCCTGGAAATGTTAATGTATGTTAAATCCAGTTCAATCGATACAATTTCATGTACATCAGCATGATGGTATGTCTAACATTTCCTAATAGACAAAAATAGCCAAAACATTTCACACTTAAACAGGGAAATGGAGAAGCCAAAGGCAGATTCAGTCAATTAGTATAAAATACAAAAACAATAGCCTTTATATCTGTCCGTCTTGGGTCACGACAGAATTGTCATACTGTTGTCATACTCACCCTAAAGAGATATGAAACTCTGGCCAAACAGTGCAACAAGGGTCCTTTTTTCTCCTTTAAAAGAAAGAAAACATTCAATTAAACCTGATACATGAAAATGTTTTATTTAGTTTTACCTAGATCAGCAGGGAATAATGTGACATTTGCATTTTAAAATGTTTGTAATTTGAAGTGTCCATAAAACCTACCACATTACGGTCGCATTCAGCCTTTAGATGGTCAAACACCACCGCTTTGCAGCAGCTGCCAGTGGGTGACCAGGGTGGACGGATGAAAACCCAGACGAAAGGATCTGCAGTGGGAGGACGCAGGCTCTCTGCCAGGCTAAAGAAGTGTGAGGCCTTTCGTCCACACACATCTGCCTGACCCGCATCGCTCAGTACCGCTGGGAAACAGGAGAGAGCATACGTTAAATGTTGCATTCAACTTAAGCAGCATTTAGAGAAATTAGTAAAATTGTTGTTTAAATTACGGATGGTCAAACTTACGTCCTTCGTTGTATAAGTAAGCAATGCCAAGTTTCACAGCAGCTTCAAAATTCCCCTTTTCAGCAGATCTAAAGAAGGAAGTTCTTAGGTCAAAAACAAAAAGAAGTATTTGCGAGTATGTGTGAAGTATTTGTTTCATTAACAGATTGACTCTACCTTTCAAATAGCCATAAAGTGTTGGGGGACGGCCAGGTGTCTCTAAAACTGACCCTAGCCCATAAACTGGAATGGTTGTCAACGATATCACGAAGTTGGGAGTGAACCTGTGACAGAAATAAAAAGCATTAGTCCTCAGAGTGGACAAAAAAAAGGTTGACCAACAACAGAAGCAGGCAGGACTGACAGACCCCTGTGCGGAGGTGTTAGTGTGTCCAGTGTGTGTACTCACAGCTCTAACTGACAGCAGGTCCTCAGCAGAGAGGCACTGGAGAACACACAGGAGAACGTCCTCAGGTAGAGACAGCAAGGTCAAATCTGGAGTTCGCTTACGGACCCGCTTCCGTGTCGGAACTGAGTAGCATTTTGAACAACGGCAGTGGACTAATTGGAAAACAGAACAAATAAATATCAATGTCATTTATAAATTACACATAATAATACAAAAACAATTCTGTTTTGGAAATGTATATGAACAGAATGGCTACAGATATGGCTGAGGTTACATATTTTTGGTAATTTAAATTAATATTAATTAAAAACATGTTTTTAGACAATTTAGACACGGGGCTGTTTTAACACTAAAAGGTTTGGGGGGGAAACGTTAAGGTGGGCTTTCTTATGTCCTTAAATCCAACGCAAGAGACAGCAGCTATGCAAATAGTATTTGCACACTCAGCCACACACACTTCACATCTTGATGTGTAATTCTCACAATAATGACAAACAAACATTGGGAACTAATTTAAAACAGGTCAGAACTCAGTTTCTATGATGGCACAATTAAAAACGACAACGTTGAGTAATTTACAGGCGATCCTGACACAAATGTTGTTTAAATGCAAAATATTAAAATTTATATACTGTAGTTACGCCAGCTTTAGTGAAAAATGTCGTAAGAGTTCTTTAATAAAACTTTTTCTGCATTAATAGTTGTGTAATGTCGGGCGATTTTGAATCTGACAGGGAAACATTCAGGGCTAGTGAGCGCCCAAATTTCCCTCCTGGGGTTCAGAGACGTTTGTTAAGATATGACATGTTTCATAAGGATAAATGGCCATACTTAATTTTAAAACAAAACGAAAGTTGGAAATTTAAGATTGTATGATTGTAAATAGAACAAAATGTACCCCCATTAAAATTACACCGAATTACAGGTGGTTACCCTGGATAACGTCTGTCCGGTGGCAAATACCTATCGGAACTGCTGTCTGATACAAGGCTTTACAATAAATCAACAGTCATTTATTGAACAATAACTGATTTTGATTTTGTTAGCACATAAATGCAAACTAAAGGTAAATCATGTTACTCACCCCCTGCTTTCATTTCAAGTATAGCAGTCTCCCCAGCAGTGGAGTCGATAAAGTTAGCAACAGCTCTTCGAAGCTATTTAAACAAAGCGGCGATTTTAGCTATAAAATCACAAGTACACGTAGATTTACAGGTACACTATACACTATTTTGACTCAGTAGGTCAGCCTGCGGTGCGATTAAATTCACTGACCACACTGAGTTGAACAACTTCACTAATAGCTTTACAAATTGTGGATCCTAGTCCAAGTTCTAATTCTTGCACGCTTCCCCCCGCAGTTAGACCCGCCCCCGATAGTAACGAGGGACCGCCCGCGCGCACCGTTTAAACTCCACACAAGTTCTGGTTGGTGCGAAGAGGTCCCACCCTGAAATAGCGTCACTACCTTTTCATTGGTCACGAGATAAAGCGGATGAGTCTATTGGTTGGAGTTTATAAACTGCAAAATAGTGTTCGATTATTGGAAGACGTGACGCATTTTCGAAGTACGCGCTCGCCGGTGGATAAATGTGATTGGTTTGATACGAATACGAAATACGACTACAGATCCGCCTGTTTGTAGTGCATTATGGGACGTGAAGTGAAAGAGGGAATACCGTTTAAAGGTACGCTATTAAAGGGGTAGATACACAGTCAAACGGAACCAAATTACGTGGAAATTTTTATAATTTTTATAATAAAATTAATTTCATATGCCCAAGATAATGAGTCAAAATACATTTTGTGCATATGTTGGTCGCTGAATTTGTTTAAAGATGTCCATAAGTGCATGGTGTTTCATGATACAATGTAGCTGCCTGTTAACATTCATTTTATGAAAAGCTTGATTGTTTAAGCAGAGCCCAATCCTTTGGAGTACTTTGTGACATCTAAGACACCCAAATATCTGTGACATGAAGTGACAAAATCAATAATGGTGACACTTATTATCATTATAATTGATGGGCCTGCTGTTAATCACATGGTTGAATGGTTGTCACTTTACAACTTTCTCTTCCTTCTACACACACATATATATATATACACACATACATATATACAGTGGACATGTGAGGTGATTTTATTTTTTCCCTCTCTCCTTCTATCTCATGAATCTGTCAATATTTGTGAGATCAAGCGGAGGAAAAAGCTAAAAGCAATTGGTTTGTCTTCCGACACTGCTGTCTGCCTTTGATGACATGACAAGATGAATAAGGATTAAGACCACCACCACTAATGGAGACAGCATTGTAAATAAATGGACACTGCTATCTCTGCTGAACACCACCCTCCTAATTATTAGTCTTAGAAAATGGGCCATAAAAGAGCCCAATAGCCCAACACAGGTAATCACTGGCCCTCAGACTTTCTATTGATCATCCACTGACCCAATCTCATCATCACCTTTTTGTGCTAAACACCACAGGACATACCTGTCAATAACCTACCCATGGTGTGATTCTAATTTTACAAAAAAAAACTGCTGTATGTTGATCCAATAGATACCAAACTTATGACCAGTGTAAAATGATGCATAAGAGAAAAAACATCCAATGAGCTCATAGTTTAGTGACCTCAGATGGGGCACAAGGCGCTGGTGGCAGTCATTGTTTCCATAGAAACCAACCAATCCCAACCACTTTCTCAGTAAAACACATCAACTAAGCAGTAATGGCTTCATTGGCGAAAAAGATCAATTAACATGTTTATTCATTCTAATGGGAAATAATCATAGCCATAAAACTGTACTTGTGACGTTTACAAAATTGCACAAACTGCGGGGGAATCCATTTCGGATGCGTTCATTAATTCAGGGAGACGATTTCTCTCTGCTAAGTAGTCCGAGTATGATCTGAGCAAAAGACACTGTGGCTCATAGCCTCACCTACTGCATTTATAAATGTAATGGTTTATTAATGAGATGCTATAATTGTAAATTCAGCTGTCATTGACTAAAATGCAAAAAAATAATTTCAATGAATCTTTTAATTAAAGTGTATAGTATAATTCTGCATTAAAAAAATATTTTTGCCATGATTGGACACCAGATTGTGAATTGAAGTGATGTTCTGTGTATAGATGTGTTGTAGTTGATGTGTTGTTAAACACATTCACTACAATACATACGTCAAGTGTGTGTTACATTTGCTTGCTATCTAATTTGACAATCTTGGCAGAAATATGTAATTTCCTTGAAAACAGATGTTGTGGGGGCTGAAGCAGAGCCGGAATGTAACTTAATCCCACCACAAAGGTATTATTTGAATGCAGGAGCAGGCAGTGACTCATCAACTTCACAGAATGAACTGTCCTTTGTACTGCACAGACGATGTTGATTAGGAACTGGCATTTAAAGCCTAAACAGATTCAGTCATGTGAAGCATATGGAGAATGTCCAAAATCTTATTTTACTGTTTGTTCCATTTTTATCTGATGTCAGTTTTGCATCATTTAAAACTGTAGAAGCCAATAAGATCTGAAGACTCAGCTCTGCAGCCAAGTCCTGCAGACTCAGAGGCGGATGAGTTGCTCCCATCTGGTTTCCTGTAATCTCCGCTGACTTCAGCGGGCAAAGTGACCACTTCCACTTCATCTGCACTTTGCCCCTGTTGGCCTCCACACCCTTGATCCAGACCCAAACACTGCTGCCTCCACAGCCACAGATGTTTCCCACCACACACACTATAAAACAGTCACTCAGATATTTGCTGTATGTTACAAAAATAAGATAATACTGTACTTGTCATGGAAAGGCTGGGGTTTGCCCAGGCCATGTCTTTGCCAGTAGGGGGTGTCATTTATTCCACTTGACACTAGCTGGCTCTAAAAGGCATGTCATGTCTGAGTGTTTGGCCGAGTCATTCAAACTGTCAGCGCACAGGTTACTGTGTCTGTATGCAGAACAGGGGGGATTCTAGTGGTTTTATTCTACAAAGGATTTTTGAATCTATTTTCACTTAGATATAATGACAGTCATGGTAAAAAAAACCTGACAAAATTTTAGAGCCCGAAATCAACCTAAGAACTGCATCTTCACAATAACATTTATTACATACAAACAAAAAAATTACAACGGTAGAAATATACAGTACGAATATAAAATGATCAACATATGATATTTACAGTATGTTTATATACAGCACCAAATCTTACAGGACACTAAAACAAACATCGAGTGTGACATACAGCAGAGTCAGATGACAGGGCTGAGGTAGATTATACATTTGTTTCAAAAGAATGGGAACTCACTGAACGTCACTGAATTTATCCACTGGCTGTCAGATTATAGTGAAAGCACGTCGGCACTGGCTCACCACTTCCAGTTAAAAGCATCATAAGTCACATGTTCTGCATTTGCTTTCCTTTTAACGTTGACATTTCCCTCCTCTGCTCTCATTTGTCAAATGTACACTGAATAGCTGTCGATAACTGTGCCAGCGATCACCAACATGTGCACGCCGGGCTGCAGAGAGTCATTAGAGTGAACAGCAATGGCGCGTGAAGGCAAACACCTCCTGGTGATTGGCCCGTTGGCCTTAAAGACATTCTTTGGCATTGTCTGTTAACTGCTACCTCTGAATGCATAGACACAGTAGGTTTATCACATCTGGGAGGCTAAATCAATTTCAACACAGACCAACTCTTCTCACGGGTTAAGAAGTGCTAGAACACAGCACCGGACACAAGGACGGCCACGTTCTGTACTTTAAAACTACTTTAACCACAAGTAGATTTTTTACATTCATAATAAGTAGCACAAATGAGAATGTTCATGATGAGGACAAAATGCCATCGTCTGTTGGAGTCAGACAGGACAGAGACTCCAGCACAAACATCCATTGGTAATTAGAGAGGAAAGCCTTTGACTATATTTCCATTAAAATGGGATTTGCCCCTCCATGTGGCACTAAGAGAATAAAAAAACACTAGTCTGCTGTGGGGCTAACAGTTGTATCTCTCTGTCAAGAGGCTGTCTTGCCTTTAATGCCCGGACAAAACACAAGGAAAATGACAACAAAGACAGAGTCAGAAACAGGGAGCCGTGACGGATGGATGAGGAAAGTGCTGTCCAGCCAAAAAGAGACATGAGGGAATACATATGGAAAAGCAACAGAGCTGTTTTCCATGAGTGCTTGCTCAAGGCACCAGGCGGGAGGGGCTGTAGGCGAGCAGGATCAGTCCAAAGTTTCCCTGCAGTGGCATGTCCCCCCAGGCAGTGTCCTTCAATAATCCTTGCCACCCTCTGTGGAGTCGGGGCTCTCCAAGTAGACAAAGATTAGGGGCAAATGCTCGAACATGGCTGGGACTTGACAAAAAGTCACTGTCTCCGTGGAGCTGAAGCTACAAACACTGTGGTGATATTTTTTTTTCCTTTTTACTCGGCACAGCCACGGCCACATTTTTTCCCCTTTTGCAATGAAAATCTAAGTCAAAGAGAATTCAGTTTACCAGAACATTTACTTGAGCGCAGACCTTTCGCTCCTCAGAAAGACCGTGCAGCCTCCACGGCTCGAAGCTCATACAGATGCCAGAAAGATCCTGCTGGACTCAAGTTCCTCTCTGCCATTGCGTAAAAAAAGCCCCCAACACATTGCTGCGGTGTCACAGGACGAGTGAATGACGTTGGCCCCTGACGCCGGTGCGCTGCTCTTTCTGTTGGGTATCGGGTTGCCGTCTTTGGCCCACTTCTGGCCTCTTGGATGGTCACCTGTCCAAGTAGGAAGAATGTTGTGACTGACGTGGCCAGTGACGCCAACGTTGACTCCAGCAGCAGCTCTGCATAGCGTATTGGGTGTCTAAGCGAGCTGCCACTGTTGAGTGCCACTGCTTATGTGAGTAAAGACTGGACGGGGCATGTAGCCGAGTGTGTAAATATGCATGCAGAGTGCAGCGCATATTTGTGTGTGTCTGGTCTGAGGTTGTTTTGACACTGGACACCTGCTGTCTAACGATTAAAACTGTGTGTAAAGCGGTGGTGATGCTTCTTTGCCCATCCAGAGTCAGCCAGATCTGACTGGCCAAACAGGTCCACCGGGTCCAGTCGCTGTTTCCACCCGTTCTGTTTGATTCTTCAGTCCAACTTTTTAAAACGGTATAAACTAAGTCCAACTCTGTAAAAAAGAACACAGGCAATTTATGACAGGGAGGTGGTGAAGTGCTGCTCCTAAAGCCAGTCCTTGAACTCCCAGGCTTTGGGCGGTGTCTCCTTTCCGGTTCCTGTAACTGTTTTCCCAGTGTGCGTCACAGGGGACACTGCTCAGAGGTGAGTGAGCCTCCCTCCTTCTTTTTCCTTTTCCTTTTCTTATGTACGGTCCAACAAGCTGTGGCCAAGATCAACAGCAAAAAGCCCACGACCAGTAGCACCACTGACACAACTTTAGTCTGCGGCAGGTCATTGTAGGTGTAGGTTACCCCTGTTCCTGCTACACCTATCACCAAACAGATGATTCCAAATGGAAAGATGCAGCGATACCAGGACTTCTCCATGCCTCCGGTGGCTTGGGTAAGACGTTCCAGAGAGGAGAGGACCTCTGGAACTTTGCTGCCACCGGCCTCCAGAGCCTGGCCGTCCTGTCCGGAGCAGGTCTGGGACTGAGGAGGGCACGCGAGGTGTCCTGTTGTACAGCCCATGCTGTTGGTGTGGGCTGACGGATCCTGGAGCAAGGCTGCAGCACCGGTCTCTGGGTTGGAGTTGGTAGTCAGCTCTAGCCTGGATATAGAAAGAGGTGGAGAGAGGCAAAGGCAGAGAGAGAGAGGAATGTGCTCTGTGTGAAACTGGACCAATAACTTGGAGTTGGAATAGCAGCAGTGTGTGAGATGAAGGTGTCTACGGCAGTGCTAACAATCCACTCACACTCTCGTCTTCTTTCCCTCCCTCTCCAGTTGTTTCTCTGTACGCTGCCTGTTGGCTCTTTGGCAGCACATTGTACACTCTGCTGCATGGAGTGATGGGGATATAAAGAACCAGAGGAGGAGGGGCCGGGGGAGGGAAGAACGGGGACGTCCGAGCGTTCCCATTGGTTGTCTTTTGTCTGACGTCCAACAGTGAAGCGGGGAGAATATAGGGGCTGATCAAACGGGTTGACAGACCACAGGAAGGGGGAGGGGAGAGGAGTTGACTCCTCCACGTCTTTACCTCTCCATCAACTCTCCTTTCAATTGTTTTGTTTTACTGCCACACACAAACTCACTAACCTGCCGCTGTGAGGAGACCAGAGCAGAGCAGGGAATCCCTCTGTACTTCACAACACAGAGCTGTTTTTTCTGTAGACTTGATGCAGTGGAAGGGCGTATTCACAGATGTTTCACTACGAGTGAGAAACTTGACACTAACTTTTTCACTCCTGCATACTGTACTCTTCAAGGTACTGTACGTCGGAGTTACATAAAAATGAATGAATGGAATTGTCTCTTTATATATATCTACATCAAACATTAATGTAGACGCGGCTCTCTCAACTCAAGGAACGCAGCGTTTCAGTGGCCACTGTAGAACCCCTAAAAAGGGAGGGTGGGGGTTATGTACGTGACCAAAATGATTTTGTATTTGTGATTCTCGGATCCTCGGACCACCCACCTCCACTGCTTTGTAGGAGTGTATTGAATAAACTGTTACTCCAGAACAAAAACACCCTAATGAGCATTCCCACACGTGACAGAGGGAGACTCATGAAAATCACAAAGAGCCCACACTCGTTTCCCACCCATACGCACACACACACACACACACACACACACACACTGCTGGTGACAGTTCTGTCTGAATGGAAAGAAAGTGTTAAATCTTCCAGAAAGACTGAAGAGGGGGAAAAAATCAATCAAGAAAGGCTTTCTCCAGATCTTCTAAATCTTCCTTCTCTACATCTGTAAAGCAAGGTTACCAGAAAGGATAAATGTGTGCGTGCAGACAAAAGTCTGTTTTTACCCTTGGGTGTTACCGGATTTATTTTTTTTATTGTGATGGTGGATTTTCTTTGCCGTCTTGAAGTATATCAGGTCATTGATATTTTTTTGTTAATTTGAGACTAAGTAGTTTTGGAGCGAAACACATTCCTTGTATTTATACCACACAGGACATGACTTTGTCTTAGTGACAGGTTTTTCCAATATAATTAAATAAAAGCGTTTCTGGTCAATAATGTTCACAAGGCGGACTTCATCAGATTAAGAGATAACTAATGTTCTCATTAAAATGCCCAACATGCCTCTGTCTGTACAGAGCAACTCTTCCTATATTAGGATGCAGTATTCTGAAGGCGGCTTTGGCCAAGGGAACGGTGAGGAAATCCAATAATAAAGCTACGAACAGCACAGCTGTAGATGAGCAACAGAGGGAGGAATGTTTGTCACCACAGGGTGAAGGAGGGAAAAAGAGCTTTTGGAGTGGATTCTTGGTAACACTGTTCTGTTTCTGTGGATTTGTACTTAGACTCAATTGTTGTGGTGAACTGAGGCTAAAATAAAAGTGACAAAGAGAAGGAATGAAAGAAAAGTAGCACGACTAATGAGAAAAGAGGGGAGTTAGAAAGCCCATCTAATAATATACTTCAAAGCATTTATTTAGCATCTTTTTCTAAATCATTTAAGGAACACTGTTTTTCTTTCTTTACTAAACAGGATTTGCATGAAAATGGTTTCATATGAGTCCCCCCCCCTCCCCCCACTGTCATCTATTTTTACCAGTGCATTTTCTTCAGGTAAATTTACAGAAAAACAATCCCAAAGCCCCGTAGAAATATCAGACATGGCAACCTTGTTCAAACATTCTTTCAGTTTTGAAAAATCTAGAGGTTAAAAAAGGGCGTTCAAATAAAACATGACACAAAGATACGGTGCTAAAACTTGTCTTAACAGGTTTCATTTACTATAATCACACACTCCAATGTGTTTGCCACAAAGAGAGAGATTGAAGGTCACACCGCGGAATGTGACGTATATTTCTTCCAATGTTCCACGCTGTGACAAGGTGGAGCCATGAGCAGTACGGGACAGAAGCGTGAGACGTGGCTAACCTGGGCAGGGCCCGGGTCGCGCTGGTGGGAGTGGAAGGGATCTGTTTGTGACCGGCAGAGCCAGGCAGCAGCTGATGTAAGCGGGTCACAGGAAGGCTGTGTTACGTAGGCGTCGCTCCCACTGGGACCTGTGGTGTAGTGCAGTCGTGATCTCGAGGATGCGCCTCCTCCTTTACTACGTTCACACACACTCATCCAAGACTGTATGGGCGTCCAGTCCTGCAGAGATGACCTGGCACCGCTCCAAGAGTGATGAGACCATGAGAGCCTCACAAAAGTGTGACTGGATATTTATTTACAGCGTAGAGTATGTGGTATTTTTGTACTTCTACTCATCGAGACAAAAGTAACCGACCCCTCTGTAACTTGTTATTCCCACACTTAAAGGAACAGACCAGTTCTTGCCTGTGTCACTCAGTGAGGCAGTGCATTGTCTTTGGCACAAACAGCTTTAGGTTTGCATGGTGGTTGATGCAGCGGGAGGCCAAACACCCACGCCCTGCTGTGTGAACCCACTGCCTCCTGTCACCCAGTCTGGCACAACCGGCATCACACACATGGCATCTGTGGGCAACAAGGCTTCTTGGCCTTTGGTGCATAAACCATCATCATCATCATCATCATCATCATCATCATCACACTGGCAGTGGAGGAAATGATGGTGAATAATTCTCCCAGTCCACAGATGTCTTGCTGGTTCTACCAATGTGATCTTTTTGTAACAGACACAAAAATAGACATCATGGAAATCAGACAAATGATGTGAAGAGATGCCGCTCCACGTCAGGGCAGACAAACAGTATCAAATTGTGTTTCCTAAATGTTTACTGCTGCGTGTCCAGGTCAGCGCTTGGCCCCCAGTTTGTGATTTATTGAATTGTTTGAATTCAGGAGCTAAACCCACTGATGTACGTTCATGACAAGAGTTACGTCATCTGAGTTGAGCGCCACTGTCGGCAATGGGTGGGTACATGGGCTTGATCAATCTGCCATTCTAGTGATTAGTGTTAACTGTCTTTGTAGCCATAAGTCTTCTTGTAGGTTTGTACCAGGGTCTTTTTTTCTGTAACAACATAAAACCATGAGCTGTAGTGGGTTTGACCTGAAATATTTTTGAATATTTTTATAGGGAATTTACTTTGCTTTAAATGTTCTGTTGTGTGTTATGTTGTTAAGAAACCTATGGTCAAAGAACTTGTTCTTATGAAAAATGTTTTTATTGAGTTACATGATTATATATATATATTTTTTTTAAAGCACAGCAGAGTGCAACACAGTATGTTCTGGGTTCATTCAGGCTCAGTATCCAGGACTACAGCAGGGAAACGTTCGCCTCCTTCACCCAGGAGGGAGTACATGTCTCTCAGAACACTGGGGTTTGGACTTCCAGAGCCAGGACATACAGATGAGAGATGAGGAGACAGAGCCTGAAACAAAGCCTGTGAAACGGGAAAAAAAACAGCATGTGAGACCTTCATTCCAGAACCTATTAGTGAAAAAAAGGCCTGACTGATGATTTCATTAACTGTTATGAAGGAGGTGAAGATGAGTTACCTGGTCGAGGTCTATCTCCTGCTGCAGCAGTGCCACCTGCATCCTCTGCTTCTCCAGCTGTCGGAGCTCTCCTTCTGTTGTGTACGTCACAGTCAGAGGTAAAATTGAAAGCATCCCAATATTTGCCCCAGTGGGGCAGAGACATCCTTCCTCTGGCCTCCATCGATCCCATGCTTCCATCTCTGACGGAAAATTAGGTTATTTTTAGAGCAGGAGCACGAGCGCCCTTAGCCCAAAATATTTTTCTCCACTTTGCTGCCTCAGCTTTAAATAGCTGGGCCCTTTGCTACGTCAGGACAGACAGTTTTAAACGTATCCATCACAGGGATGTGGGCGGTGGTGTGTGTGGGGAGGAGAAGGAAAGAACTGATCTGACACTAAGGTTTCACTGCAGCTTAGTTTTCATTTTCCACTTGAGCTCGTTAGCGCTGTATAGATCTTTACAATGACCGGTAAACATCATTCCTGAAACTGAGACGGTCATATGACTGGAGAGGTGTCCAAGACGGCAGCCTCATTATGGTGGCATTATCCACAGTCATAGAATTTCTAACATCTAATGCACTATATCTGTCTATACGATATCTATCACATTAACACACATTTAATTATGTTAAAAAAATTGAATTTGGAATGGATCAAAGTTTGCAAAAATATAGAAATGAGCAAGGAAATTTGTATTTTTTTTTAGATTTAGCCTCCAAGCAGCTAACGGTTAAAAAAGCTAATGTTTTTGTTTGATAAGTGGATGGAATTAATGGACGTAGATGTGAGTGGCTGTGATTCTGTGCTGAAAACTTTAATTTGAATAACTTTACTAATTAATAATCAGGATGATTAAAGGAAACAAAAAACACATTTTGGTCCAATTTAAGTGTGTTTTTATATGGTGTTTGCATCTCTTATAGCTGTAAGACTGACACTCCTTGCCCCTTATGTCCTTCTCTTCATTCCTGTAACCATGACCCACGTGTGTGTGTGTGTGTTTCTTACCAGACTCGGCTGCTGCTGCTTGTAGGGTTGATTTGACATGACGCTCCTTCCTGTGACGACGATCGCTGACATCATGTCGTGAGTGGGATGGTTTATTAACCTGAGCTCTGGTCTCATCTGTGATACCACATGTCACATCTTCAGCAAACTAGAGTAAGCAGAAGGCAGAACAGTCAGAAGAACAAATGGGTACGAATTAATGTTACAATAGAACCGAGTTGGTTGGAAATTTTTACTGGCTTTCAAAAATCAGTAGCAACAGAATTCTGACTAAAACCCATGTTCAAATCAGTTGATACATATCAAAATATACCATTTGTAGCCACAAGAGGGCACCGTCTACATTTGGGACAACTGAACGCTGCTAATGCCACTGACAATACCCGTCTTAAAGGCTTACAGATTTAAAAATCACAAATAAAAAATGTATTTTGAAAAAAGAAATGGGACTTATAGAGATGAGAGACGTGTTTTTTCTCTTTACTAGGATTTTTTTTGACAGATGCAACCAGTGCCCCACTCAGTATGACACAAACACGTGCTCTTTATGGAAATCAGGTCTGTTCGTTCCTTAATTAAATATGATTAATCGTGGAAAAACCGTTTGGTTCTGCTCCTACACCGCTGTCATAAATTTAACTCATAAAACTAGACTTACCGTCGTTCTCATTCTGTGCAGGAAGTGATCTCTCCCTGGAACAGTGTCCCTCTGTATGGCAATAACGTTTTCCCACAACCTAAAGACAATGTAAAGAAGGAACCTTAGTGACACAAACATTTTGTGATTGTACTGAGAGGTGAATTTCATCCACCTGTTTTCCTTGCTTCGTAAGAATTTCCATTTTGTTATCTGCTCATAGGCACCACTGTCAAAGACAAACAGAACACTTAGAGTATAAAACTAATTCTCAATTATTTTTACCCTGTCAGCGCTGTGAAAACGTACCCTTGAGGTTGAGAATTAAGTGCCCCAGTCTCATCTGTGTGTGATAAAGGCTCTGGGGTATTTGAAGGAGCTGTGCTTGAGTCATCCCAACTGATCATGCTGCTCCTAGTGGTCTTCTTATGTGGGTGTGAGGTTGAGATGGTATTAAGAGAACCAGACCTCGGACCAGCCTGCTGCTGCTTCCTGGCAGCCTGCTGAGGCCCAAACCTAGCTGAGGAACTTTGGCTTTTCTTTTTCATTTGCCCCACATTTCTGTTCCCTGAGAGTCCGGTGCCCACTGTGGAGGAGCGTCCTCCACGCATTTCTGTCGTTGTTGTGGCGTTGCATTCACTTTTCTTTTCAAGACTGGTTAATTTTGAAGTGGATCTGATTTGTTGACTTTCTTTGGGAATTTTTATGTGTTTTGAGGTTGAAACAAATCTGTCCGGTTCATATGGAGATCTGGATTGTTTGTCTCTCTCTGGGTTCTTTTTCCCTGAGCTGGTGCGGACCTGAAGAGCTTTCTCCAGTGCTCGCTCAAGCAATTCTATATCTTCCTTCTCCCCCGGTGACGTATTTATGTCTGAGGATAGCAGCATAAAAGCATGTGGTTACAGTTCAGCTGCTTAATCTCAGTGTACACAGAAAGTCTATTTCCAGACAGCATCCTTTTTTTAATGTGGTGTACATGACTTCTCCCATGTATCTCAGCTTATCTTGGGAAAACCAAAAGGAGCTGTGTGAAAAATAATCATGCTACATATATTTTTAAGTTCCCTCTCAACATTATATTAAAAATCTAGGCTTTTTTTGACTTATTTTTAGAGTCTTATTTTACACTTATCGGTCATTTTACCTGTAACAGCAGCCTCTGCACGATCTAACAGATGATGTTCATCTGTCGCTGTTGGTGGAGTCCTACAGAGACAAAACTAGTTAGCACACGATTACAAATAGCAAAGTACAATATCTGCACAAATTTTGATTACTGTAAAAATAATGTCAAATATTGTAAGTACTGCAGTGTGTAATGTACCAAGTTTTCTAGAAATTGTGTTTTAATCCTTATATATCCCCTATATGTCCCCGGTTATACGTTTGCAAAGGCAAACTAAAAACATTATTCAGTATTTTCCATTTAAGTGTCAAAGTAATTATTAAAAACAAAAAGGCACTGCTGGGATTCGAACCCAGGATCTCCTGTTTACTAGACAGGCGCTTTAACCAACTAAGCCACAGCGCCAGACGGAAAGCAGTGCTGGCAAATCACATTAAAAATGCGAGCCTATACATAGTCAGGTTACATATATCTTGAGAAAACCACTTGCTATAGAGCGAGTTACAAATAATAGTAATTTACTTACAAGCACTGTAGTATTTCTCTGTAGAGCCGAATACTTTCATTGATCCTGGCTTGTTCAGCTTTACATGATTTAATAGCTTGTTCAACGGAGGACAGCAAGGACATGATGGTTGCAATCGAGCTCTTTGTTCGACCATATGTTGACCGAATGGACCGCGTTGTCTTGATTTCGACTGTTGCCTGCTTTAAAACCAACTGAACTTTTCCCGCTGATCCACAAAGTCGAAACGGATGCGGAAGTTACACTGCATCCACATGTTTGCGTTTTCCAATAACATATGTTAAATTACACAACGACTGACCGGGGGCAGCTGTTGCAGCAAAGCTCGTCTAATTGTGCTTATTCAGAATAAATGTTATAGTTTAACTTCTACTGTATCAAACACAAATAAACGGAGTCGTAATAGTCAATTCTCGCGAGAACTGTTATGGTTACTGCGTTTTCCGGGTTTTCCCATGTTGCTATAACAACCAATGATAGCTAGATAGACAAATTGTGAGTTTTAATAACACATTTTTGTACAAATGTGGTCTTTAAACAAATTGTGTTGTACGTCATTGTGTTTTTTATTATTATTTTTGGGTCACGAAAGTAAAAGAATGTTTTAATTTGGAAGTGGATAAAGCCTGAATAGGTTGTAAAACGTTATATTCTCATAAACTTTCATTCATACAAAGTTGCTTAAAAAAATCGGTCTTTGATGGTTTATATTGGCTTTTATCAGCGCTCTTCAATGCATTAACCCACCCCGTTGTCCTTTATCAGACTGCTCCGACAAAAGCTACTTAATGTAAATGCAACAGCTTTTCAATCTGCAGGGAGGTGAATCATCTCATGGGCTCATCTTTTCCCCCACTAACCTCCTGTGGCTCAGTGGCAGAATGAGGGCGGGGGATGTGAAGTACAACTCAGCAGCTGATGAAGCAGCAGCAGCCTCTGATTGTAAAACACCTTTGTTCTTTCATTTGTTCTTTCTCCCAAGCACACAAAGAGTATGCTATTCAAAGATTCACACACTGCATCCTTTCAAGAATAAACAAATTCTTGTTAAAAAAAACAATAATACAATAATTCAGTTGGTGCTGTTTGTGATATTGGTATTGCTTGAAGTGATATCCAATGTGGCTAGGAGTGTTCTGTCATTTGATGTGCAGTAGTACCCCTTTGTTGATCAGACAAAACTTCGTTAAATCTCACAATCAAATCAAATGAAATAAAATTTCAGACAAAAGTGGTAGACATAGAAATGGAACATTTCTCAATTTATGTGACATAAATTGACATTTTCAACATTTTTTTTTGTTGTGTAAAAGGTACAAAGTTGTGAACAATGAATCTGCGTCATCAGCACTGTTGACGACAGGGGGCGGTATATTCTATTTACATTCGGCATTATAGAAGACAGCTCAGCAAACAGTGGTGCTGTGAAGGTTAGTTTTCACAAATCTGTTGTGACTCTTCCGCCTTAGGTCATATAAACTAAACATGACAGGGAGATTTTTTGCGTTCCTGTGTTTGTGTACGTGCAGTTTCCAATCGCCTGTGAACGAGGTTGTAGCCTGTTATAATGAAAGCTAGTCGCTTTGCTAACTTAGCTAGTAAAGTTAGCAGGTCCTCTTGGATGAGAGGCCAAACGTCTTCAACTTACTTGAGGAGAGTCCAGCGGCTTACTTTAAAACAGCTTTTGCGATTTTTATGATGACCTGGATGATTGAGAATATCTACAAGAAAGCTAGCAGGTGCGAAAGATTAAACAGAAACCAAGTTTGGTAACCGTCTGTGTCAGGTAACCTTTATTTTTTTTTAAATTACTGTCGAACATTAGGTTTCAGTTTGAGGTCAGATCGGAAAATGTAAGTACATCACTGACAAAAGAAAGAATGACACAGCTGTGACGAGCAGTTATTCTGCTCGTCATTCTATACTGTGATTATCCAGTTGGCACCAGAAGGCCTTTGTTGTCTAACGTTATGGGTATTGTAAAGCCTTGGTACTCGAGTTAAAACAAAATTACGCGAGCCTAAAAAATAACATACTCTGAGTAAACCAGGAAAAGGGGCATAAACCAGCTGGATTAGCTAAAAGACAGTAACTTCCCTTTGGACATCATCATCATTGCAGTTACCATTTAATATCCCTTTACTTTCTTTTGAAATAATGTGGTTTCTACATTTTTTTAATTGATGGTGAACTTTATACACAGGATCACACCACAAAGGTCATCAGACAAAATGGAGACGACAACGACAGCCAATGGAGACGGGCCTGTATATGAAGAGAGAGAGGAAAAACTGAGGTGAATTTCATGTTCCTGAAATTAAGAAATTTCAGGAACATGACATGAAATTACTACTTTAAGACAGATCAGAGCAATATATGGTACAGAATTTAGCTGAACGTGACCAATTGGTGTGATGGGAAATGTTATTTGATTGTCAGGTCTCAAATATTTGCGTTTTTGTAATTGTTTCTTGTAAACATGTCATGTGCAATTTTTTTCCCATCTTACTGCCTTCCAGTCCTGAAGATTTATCTGAGATGTTAGCAGCAGGGACCAAAGAGGTCCATGAGAAAGCTGAAAACACACAGTTTGTGAAGGACTTCCTTAAAGGTCGCATCCGTAAGGAAATCTTCAAGGTCAGTTGGAGTAAACTCAGAGAAAGTTTGACATGATGAAATCAGGAATATTCTTCAAGGTCAGTTGGAGTAAACTCAGGAATATAATTCATGTATGACCATTACCAATAATCGTAAACTAACATTTTGTGTCTTCAGCGTGCTACTGTGGCTCTGTACTTCACCTACAAGGCCATGGAGGAGGAGATTGAGCGGAACAAGGAGCACCCACACTTTGCCCCTCTCTATTTTCCTGCAGAGCTCCACCGTCATACAGCTCTGGCCCGGGACCTGGAGTATTTCTATGGCCCTGAGTGGCAGAGCCAGGTCAGCTGCACTGAGGCCGCTCAGAACTATGTGGATCGTATACACCAGGTGGGACAAGAGGACCCGGTGCTGCTTGTGGCCCACGCATACACCCGCTACATGGGAGACTTGTCTGGGGGACAGGTGCTGAAAAAGGTGGCACAAAGAGCCCTGAAGCTTCCTCCCACAGGAGAGGGACTGGAGTTCTATTGTTTTGATGCCATTCACAGTGCCAAGTCTTTCAAGCAACTGTACCGCAGCCGAATGAATGAACTGGAACTTGACATGGAGACGAAGAAGAGAATCGTGAGTGAGGCTGTGAAAGCTTTTCACTTTAACATGGAGGTAAGAGTGGACGAAGTTTCTTCTTCAATAAGTTATAACAATGGAAGTGATCTGAATTCATTTTTCAATGATAATTTTTCCTTAAATATACACGATCCTGTTACGCCTACATAAGAACACAGTTCTTTAAGTGAGTTGACCCGCTATTAAACCAAGAAGTCAGGTCTTTAATAGCCTAAAGTTGAAAGATCTTCTTCCTCAGACACAGACAGTGTTTTACTGTGTTTCTGTTTAATATATTGACAGTTAAAGTAAAAAGAGGAGATAAATGGTGATGTGCAATGTGTATGTAAAGAAGTGTGCATTTTTTTGTATTCTGTTATTACTTAAATATATTTCACTGTATATATCTTAATTCTTGTCTGTCTTCTTTTGCCCATTATATGGTATTTAGTAGGAAAATAAAGATGTGCTATTTATTTATTTATTTTTGCTTGTAGGTGTTTGAGGAGCTGGAGGAAATTGGGAAAACCATCCAGGAAGAGGTGTTAGATGCGGGAATGCCTGTCCATGGAGCGATGGGTGGTGACATCAGCAAATGTCCCTACTATGCTGCTAAAATGGGTATGACATTTGTTTGTGTTTCACAATTTACCTATGTAGCTATCTGCTGCCACCTATTGTTACAGTATTTAATTGTTCTACCCATCACTGTTGCATAAATGCACACAGACAAATGAGGAATGTGTTTGAAGTGTGTGTTTTGTGTGTGTTGGTTCTTCCAGCGGCCTCTGGAGGAACCGCATACTTTTGTCAACTGGCCACAGCTGTGCTGCAACACCCAACAGGACAAGTTCTGCTTGCCACCTGGTTTGCTGCTATGGCTGGACTGGTGGCCTGGTACCTGATGTGATCCGGCCTCGGGGTCTTTTCACTGCAGTAGGAGGTTAAGAGGACAGTAAGGACATGAAGTGCGTTTTTATGGGTCATGGGTCCAAGTTAGTATAACGGTTATGGCTAAAGTTGACAGCAGATGTACTTGGACCAGAGAGATGATCAGTTGGACCAGTGGTATGCCATCCTTACCTTCTCAAAATTCTTTTTTTTCTTCCTACCTCTCCATCCATCCCCATCTACCTCTACATCCCATCTTTCTAGGCACTTATGTTGGTGTCAGAGATGCTTTTTCCCAGTTCTAAACAAAACCTTTACAATAACTCCCTGATGCATCCTGTTGCCTAAACTAACTATAATAATAATTCCTTATTCATCCCACAATAGGGACATTTAGTTTGTCTTTCCAACCGACAGAGGCCGCCACAGGAGGCGCAACTATACAGTGATCAGAAAAATTCCATTGACATATAGAAAAGTGTAAAAATGTATTAAAAGTTAGTTTTGGTAAAGAAGGCAAAGAAAAAAATTATGCAAAGTCTATGCATAGAACAAAGCTAGCTTGACTGCTCAGTTGACTGCTAATAAGAAGCAGTGGTTTATCCATAATTTTACACATAAAAGACTCCACACTTCTGACACTGCCTGAAAGTCTGTCCTCGCTTATTGTTACAAAAAATGAAAAGTAATATTTCACATATACTGTACTTCAAATGTATTCTAATGCATGTTAAAAATGATTTTTACCATGTTGCATTCAACTGACGAGTTACGTTTTAACAATAGACTTTCAGAAGCAGTGATAACTTATGAACACTCTTTTAAGGGACTGTTTCCTGCAGCTCTGCCCTTGTTTATGGTACATCCACAGGTCACTACAGCTCTGTGTTCATGATCCATACTGTATTGCAGTGCACTCTGTGGGCTGGAAATATTTTTTTAGTGTTATTAATTTCAAGATGTAACTAGAAAAATGCTGCAGTGCTGTGTAAACTTCTTACAGAGCTGTGAAGTTTTAACGTTTATTTCAACAAAGTTGTAATGGTTTAACTTTGGAAGCACTTTTTGGAACTTGTTGGACCCGAAGTACCAAAGGAAATGTGTTAACTACTACTGCATGAGGATGTGCAGTATTCACAGAAACCCATCCAGAAGAAACAGCTGAATAATAACCTCCTCTTTCGTCCATGTTTGAGCTGATGTTCATGAAGCCAGTGCCAGTGTATTAAACCGGAGTGTGTAAGGACATTTACTTGAATCATGATGGAAGCAGTTGTATGAATGTGGAAAAGGCTGTTTGACTAATTTACGTTGATTTGAATTCACCTCATCTCACTAACCTCAGTTTTGTTCACCTGGTGTTCCTGAATAAACAGCTTTTACCCAGTGAGTGTCAAGAGTCCCTGTCAATGTGGCAGATCATTTGTTACGAAGTATGGTTTTAATGGCTCAAGTCTTTTAGGTGCACTTTTGTACAGAGTAAGTCTTTTTCATTTTATTATAGCTGTACAGTTTATTAATTATGCAGCAATTGTTTTAACAACTGTTTTATGTACATGTAAAAAAAGTGAATTCTTTCACCACAGCTAAATGTAAGAACTGACCAGAGTTGGTGATGACAATTAGGGAAAGCCTTCACTGAGAAAACTAGAGCAACGAGAGGAAAGAAAGGAGGAAACCGCAAAAAAGGACAAGAAAACGAGCATTAATAAGAGCTGATTCATTTCAATCTAACTCCAAGATGTGACTCTATCTTTAGTCTCTGTCAACACTATCATTTATTTGCACAAAGCTTCTGTTGTCAGCATCGTACTTGTGTTTATGGTGGGCAGTGACGACCACACATGCAGAGACTAAATATAAATGATCAGTCTTTGCAAATTAAATAGCCTCCCAGTTAGAGTGTTGAGCTCTATTGTCCTCGTGTGTCAGTGTGTGTGGATCCTCTCAGGCAGAGGAATGGAGCAGGTTGATCTTCATTTTCAACCACTAAAGGATGTGGTGGTTTGGACTATATGCATTCATCCACAACCAATACTTCTTTAAACGGTCTCTGCTTCTGTTCCTGTGACATGATGGTTTCTGTTGGCTGATGCGTCGATGGGAATCTCAGTTCCACGATCTTTTACCTTGACGCAGAAGAGGAATATGGAACAGAATTAGAACTGAATACTTTATGTACAAATAGTTCAACAACAGGCCTTTATTTTAATGCCTGGTGGAATTTGGTAGAAACGACAATAAGGTCTAAAAAATATATTGTACCTGTGGTTGTTGAAGTAACACCATTCACAGTCCCTTCCACGTCTGTCTCATCCTCAGCAAAGCTCATCAATAGTGATCGCTGTTTCTCCGTCAGCGTCCTGCAGAGAAAAATAAAACAGGATCCATAAGTATTTGTCCTTCGTTTCCAAGCAGACGTTTGGTCCAGCCACGTCAAAAACTGAACAGAATAATCCAACTCAACACTGTGTTCTGTTTATTCTAATACCAAACAGCCACTTGTTGATTCAATCTTTCAAAATTGCAAATCCCGCTTTATAAGCATAAGCGTAGCTCTGATTGGCTCTAGTTTTGGCCTAAGAAAGGAAGGTCGTTGACTAAATCTTGTCTCTAAATCTAAAAACAAAAACTATCACTGCACTGCAGCGGAGTCATACTTTGGTATTTTTATCTTGACATGAACGTAGTGATCTCCGTATCCATATCCACTGACACGAGCGATTCCCTTGCCTGCCAGTCGTATCTTTTGGTCCGTCTGAATGCCTGCAGGGATCTAAGGACGGGGGGGGGGGGAAACAATCGGCCAGTTAAATTAACAACATATGGCTTGGTTTCCAAATTCTCCAAATGCAGTGACTAATTGTTTTGTTTAGATGAATGACCACTCACTGATAAGTTGAGCATCTCATAAAGTCCCTGTGTTCTGGCTGTTCCGCCCAACACTGCTTGACCCACAGACACGAGAAGGTCAGAGTGGATGTCCGCACCTTCCCTCCTGAACACTGGACTTTTTTGGACCTGGACATCACAGAAATACATGACAAAAAAACCTCACTTGAAATGTCATAAAGGGGCTTTGACACACAAGTTTTGTTCATGTCTTTTATGTCTCTTATTTCTGTGTTTCTGTTGTGATCAAACAGAGACTCTTACCCTAAAGGTGATGAAGATCTCCTTTTTACCAACGGGCATTCTTACTGTCTGACCGTCCTCCACACCTGTGAACAAAAACAGGGACGGACATAAGGTTAAATTGTGATAATAATAACAATAATCACATATTTTTCTTCTTGGTGATCAGTTTAATTAGAAGTTAGAAGCATTTCTAACGTGCTGACTAGATCAAATAGTTCCTGGTGACTGACCTGCAGGCACAGGAACCATCACAGTTTGCGTCTGCTTCGTTTGTCCTTTCCCGCCACAGGAATTACACGGCGTGGAAATGACTGAGCCTTTGCCGAGACAGCGACGGCATGTGGAGCGCATGACAAACGGACCTGTGTTCACGGTCTCCTACAGGATGAGGAAGAATACACACTGTTGGTAACACAACAGACAAGAATGCACCATGCAGCGCAGCAGCAAGTCTGTTTTCGTACCATTCCAGACCCATTGCAGGTGTGGCAGTGCTGGACCTTGGTGCCAGGCTCGTGACCTCTACCATCACAGCGCCGACAGGCTGCGTCTATTTTAACGGATATTTCTTTGTTGACTCCCTTTGCTGCTTGAGTGAATGTCAGGTCCATAAGATACTGTATCGGCAGAATGGGCAGAAATGATTTACTATATGCACATGAAATAGAAAACAACTGAATCACATCAGGCTACAAACTACTTGTACTAACCTCCCGTGGCTGCTCAAACATGCTGTTAAAGTCTCCAAACCCACGTCCTGATGAGAATTCCCCAAAAATCTTTCGAAATAGCTCCTCTGGATCCACGTGGCTTGTCTGTCCGGTCCAGTAGCTCTGACCTCCACCTGTCTGACCGGCATCAAAGCCCGCTGATCCATAGGTGTCATACTGTTTCCTCTTTGTGTCATTACTAAGGACCTAAAACCAACACTGATTGTTAAAACAGGCCATGATGAAATACATCATCACGTCTAATCATAATCACAGAGAACAAACCTCATAGGCTTCAGCCAGCTCACCAAACTTTTGCTTGGCCTCTGGGTCATCTTTGTTGGAATCAGGGTGGTACTTTTTTGCCAGCTGTCAGACAAAAACAAACACCATCAGCTGAAGGACAATTTATCAGAGAACAATGACAGCCTGGAGACAAGTGTCAGGCAGAGACAGACCTGGTAGTAGGCACTCTTTATCTCTTTAAGGGTTGCTGTTCGTGGCACACCAAGAACCTCATAATAGTCTTGTTTGCGGCCGACAGGAACACTTGTGTGAAAGGACAGTGTGCAATCTGCATGTGGAGATTTGAGGCCTGGAAAAGCAAAATATGAACTGTCAAATGACACAAAACCAGCTTCCCTGTTAATCAGCTTCAAACACCACTATGTCCTGCATCTCCTCAAAGCCAAAGTGATAACTTTCACTAAGCTAAAATCATTGAAACACACATTTGTCGAGGTCATCATGAGCTGAGCAACCTTAATTTATGCAACATCTAACAAATAGATGCTGCATAAATTAAGATTACTTAGTTCACAGGGTACAACGCAACACGGGGTCGACCCTTGCAACGTCAAAATTGTACCTTTAAGACACAGTCTGAGAACAGCAGAACATTGCTTGTGATCAATCTAAAAACTAAAAATAATCAATTCCAACAGCTACTGCAGGTGATATATAGCACGAATATCAGTTGTCTTTAACTGCGTAAAACACGCAGTAGCTTAGCCTAGCTAGGGCCATATGGCTAACACTGCTCTCACCTGACAACCCTTTCAATGTCACCGCTTTCCCTGCTCCGCCGCACAAATGGTTGCCTCCTTGCCATAGTTTCCCGGCACTCAATGTAGAAATACCGCGGACGCCCACATTGCCAACGCAGACAACGGCACCAGTGGCCCGATGTTGTCCAGTGGAAACGACGACTGTAATCCAGCGTGAGACACGGAGAGCAGCTGAGGACGCCATCATTCCTTCCTATCCACCGGACCGCGCGCACTGCGCATGTCCGGAACGCAGTGGGCGTCAGAGTAAATCCAAAGATGTTCAGGTTGTGGCAAGATAATAATCTGTTAAACTGAAAGGTTTTTTATTAAATAATTGCGTTAAAATGTTATTCTAGTTTAAATACATTGTATGACATAAAGAGATACAAATATACAATAGAATGTCGTATTTGTAGATATTTATATAAAGTTATATGATTTAATATACATCGATTTTTAAATCTGACGAAACATTGGATAATGCAATAGTCCGTGAAACAAGTCGACATTAAATGTATACTGCCTCCGTGTGGTAGTTGTTAAAAACATAAAATAAGGTATATATATATGTATATATATACACAGTGCGATCCTTCATTACTTTACTTTAGTGAACTACTGATCCTTAATTTATATTTCCCTCCTTCGTATAAAAACCCCAAACATATAGTATCAAACAAAGTCATCTTCCCAGTTGCCCAAAACATCAAAACATTAAAGTCACATTCACTTAATGACTATGTTTAATTGAAATGTTAAATTCCGAAAAGAACATTCTGAGTATTCTTTTTCAACAGTCTTCTCTAGTATATTGTTGTACCATGTATTTTGTTTGAGACCCCCCTCAAATATGTATCTGCCGTCTACTTTCATTACAACATGGTCTCCAGGTTACCTACCTAATGCCTAACCATAATATTCTGGTTGTCCACTTTTCCTTTATCACAAGGCTCAGAGCTATTCCCTGATGAAGAAGAAGAATTGGAGACCCAAGTGCTTGGTCCATAGGGATCAATGTTTCTTAGCTGGCAATTATTTATGTACCATAATTATTACCAAAATAAGGGGAACCTAACATTGTTCTTAATAATGATTGTGCTGTTCCACTTTCATGTATCTATCTGCTACTCCTGTTTGCCCCTGCTGGCTGTAATTATGAGAACACAATTATCTCAATTGAAGATGGAGACAACCACAGTTCTCTAATATTTTTATAATATTTTATAGGAAATAAAATATTATAGGGTGGAATTCGAATAAACTCAAATCTGCTCTTATGAATCCTCAATTCAATAACTTAGGTTTAAAATTGCGAATAAGGAACGGCGAGTAACTTTGTGTGAAAAAAGCACAACGCCGCCCAATCGCACAACCTCGGTGAATACACCGAGCGTCCACCAACTCGATGAACCGGAGCTGTCAACTGTAGTGGCAGTAGCCCCGTGTGCAGGCAATCTACACCAGCTCGACACAGTGAGGCACCCGGAAGACACGAAAGTCATTGTGAGAGAGCAACATGAACCGATTTAAGACTTCCAAATTCAAAAACACCACCCCGAAAGTTGCCAAGAGAGATGTGAGTAGTTGGTGTACGACCGGGAAGGAACACTTTTTTTCTGGCTAACGCTAGCATTGGTTTACATGTAAGCTGTGCTTCTTATGTGTTGTTTTGGGGGAAACGCCTGCCTCTCTATCTGGCTGTGAGAGATGTTCAACTTCCTGTATGTGGAAAGCTGCAGAGCTGAGCGGAGTAGAAGAACATGCGAATCTTCACTCTCATCCCTGATTCTTACTAAAGTCTATGAGTAAAAAATATGAGCCATGTGGTTGCATAATGCTGCTAACCTATATTTGTTGTTGCAGAAAGCAAGAAAAAGTGTGTTTCCCCTGTTTCATCTGTTTTTACATCACATTATGTCACAGATGCATTTATTGCTGTCGTTATTCTGCACGCACATTTTGCGGCAGTCAATGACTGACAATAATGAGTCTGACAATCTGGACCGGAGTAGAGAGCTGGAATTTTTCAGTCATCCTCCTCTGGATCTATCTGTGTCAAATTGCAGTGCCTGCAGCTTTCTTTGCTCAGGTGCATTACATAACCCATCTTCCTTGTTTTTAAAGCCAGGCAGTAAAATCTGTGGCATGCACATACTTGGGGAGCGAGAACGATTATCTTAGTCTTATCTTAATCTCAGTGCAGGGTCTGCAGCTGCAGGTGTTTAGTATTGTAGTCGTTCCAGTAACCATTCATAGGGGCATAGCAGGAGATTCAGTTTGGATGTGACAGTTCTAGTCATGCAGGGAATTACAATAAATTCTTTGTGTGGTAGAAACCTCAATGTATATATTGAAATGTTAGTACTATAGTATGGATTGCAGTGTTATTTCTATATTATATATTGCAGAATTTGCACTTAAAGATTTTTCTCTGCACAGTGTATACTGTATATAAAAATCATCGTCCATTTCAGTTCTGTCTCTTGCATGTGTGTGAAGTGTGCTGTCAGGCTTTACCTGCTCCACTGAGACGGGTAATGATTTGTTATACGTTATTTAAGAAGTCATTAAGATGTTTTGATCACTGGTCTGTTGTTGACCTACATATATACGTATATTCCTATATATGGGACAGATGTTGAAGAAAACCAGAGTCTGGTGCAGGACAGCTGAGAACTAAAAACTCAGCTTCTTATTATTATTTAATGACATTTTATGACCATAAAAACATCAGGGTGAAATCCACTGTCATCAGTAAATGTATCACTAAGCTCAGGTGACTAAGCTCAAGTGTCAGATTTATCACATGACCCGCATTCAGAAAGACACTAAAATGAAATATTGCTATTGGTCACATTGGGCACATGATGTTGTGGAAACATTGATGAATTTTAAAATTTATTAAATTTATTAATTTATTTATTTATAACTCTGCTTAAGTCCAGTGCTGAAACAGTGACCTTAAGGCCTGAGGCTAAGTTCTAGGTCAAAGCATTGATTCACAGTAGAAAGTGTCTAACAAAACAGAGTAGATATTGATCTTTTCTGTTCATAGAGGATAGTGTTTATTACTGTGGCCTTATGGCAGTGTTTCCCAAAGTGAGTTCATAGTACATCTAGTAGTATTTTTGTAGTAATTTTATTTCCTTCATACTAGAAGATTATTAGTTTTGCAGGAATTTGTACAGGGACGGAGCACGTGTCCGAGCATGTGTTTCTTCTGCTGATGAAAGAGGTTTTTCAGAGTTTTTCTGCAGTGCAACGCAGGGAGTTTGTTCTCTTCCTCTTCCTCAACACTTGGCTCTTTTCTCCTTCCTGTCAGTGTATTTCTTTACTGTGGCTGTGACAGCAGCAGGGTCATGAGAGCTCTTGAGCTGGAATAAATCAGATAAACTGTGAATTCTTCTGTGTATCTAACGGGTCCGTTCCTGCCTGCACATGTCAAATGAATTTCACAGATTTCACGAGTCGATACTTTGAGCAGGGTTTTCCTTATCTATCTAATTAAATGCTCTGTCTGATTTGTTTTTATCATCCAGGGATGGATCAACAATGTTCGTGCTGGATCCTTCTCCTGCCAGGGGAACCACATCAAAGCATCCTCCAAACTGGTGGTCTTCCAGGCTGAACAGGCTGGTGAGGCTGCAGATGTGCTGCCTGTCTGTCTTTTTTTTTTTTTTAGAGAAAAATATTTTATTTGCAGATAATGATAATGCCTTCAACCATGACACTACTAGAAAGTAAAAATATGTATTTTTGGTCAAGTTGTTTTTTTCCCCTATCCTGTTGACCTGAAAGTGCAGATATATTTCTCTCTGTATGCACAGAAACTGTCCAATCGAAGACAGACAGATGTCGGTATTTGTCTTTGTATGTACAGTGCATGTTTCCTGTGTCTACAGGTGGAGGAATGCTGGGTCTGTCTTCCCTCAAACCAGGATCAGATGGCCAGTGGACCGTCGCCCACGTTTCCTGCCATTCTGGTAGTGTTTACTTTTACTTACTTATGTTGTTTCTATTATATGCTGTGTTGTTTTCTGGCACTCTTACTCTGAAGCGCAGGGCAAACCTCCTTACAGAGTCATTTTCACTCCCACAGTGGAATAACTGCACTGACTTGTAGTTTTATTTCCCTGGTTCAGTTAAAACAGTAATCCAACTATTAAACAGCACTGCTAAAAATAAAGTTTGAAAGCCACTGCACTAAAGAATGCTGAAAACCCATGCCTCTGTTTTCATTTACCACAGATTTAATGACTGACATGGACTTCTCTCCTTTCGATGAGAATCTTCTGGCAACATGCTCTGCAGATGCAAAGGTGAGCTCCAAGTAGGATCATATTCAATATTTCTGGCAACAACAAATTAGCGTGTTGCGTGTTGCTAACAAAACAACGTAATGTCATTGTCTTTTTGTACCTGAGATCAGGTATGAAATCTGTAGCTGCAGTTCAGGTAACAGAGGCAGTGTTAGAATGTCTTACATGGTCATTTTCCACTTCTGCTTTTCTTGTGGATGAATATGTAGTTATGTTGCAACACATATTGAATATTGTCTTCTTTTTTTTCCTTTGTGTTCAGGTGAAGCTGTGGCGCTTGTGTGACCCAGAGATGGAGCAGCCCAACAGTCCAGAGGTGACTCTGCAACAAGGTCAGGACAGACTGGAGCTGGTGCAGTTCCACCCCACTGCGTCTGGCCTGCTGGCTGTGGGCTCAGCTAAAACAGCACTCATTTGGGACACCAGTCGTCAAGACACACCTCTGGCAGGTAGCTACAGTTAGACATGAACATTGAACATCGATACGTGTCTACCACCAAGATTTTTCTAAATCTTTACAGAAAATGGGTCACAGAGCTTCTGTATCGGACTCGACTTGCTATGTTTTTGCTATGTGGGTATGAGTTGTTTCAAGGAAAAAATATTTGTTATATGTCAGACAGTGTTTTATGGATAAGATACATTTACCTGAGAGGTAAAGATAAAAAATATATATGTTTCAAGATAATTAGGAAAACAATTTAATGTGAGCCAAGATTGTCCAAAATACACCGGAAATTATATCCACATTAGCAGAAAAAAAATATGATGGTGTATATTGTTCTGTAATGAAGCATGTCTTTAAGATAATGACTGGTCTGTGTCACGGTCTGTGTCAAACATTTGTCTGTTACATCTGACATTTCAGTATCTGTCTATTAGTCGCCACAGCCTTTCGTTGTCACCTTATTTTGTTTCTGTGTTTAACTCTTTTACATGTATTTCAACTGGATTGAACTGGTTGTGCTCCTGTTCTTTTTGGTTTGTTTATGTATATGTTTGTTTGTTGGGGACTGTCTGACTGACACTGCCTACGTTTTACAGCCCTGTGGCTCTGTCTATTTGCCGGAGCAGCAGAGGTAACGTTTGGTTTGCAGTCCTGGTCCCAGTCTGCTCCAGACTGGCCTCAGGATATTGTCATTACCCTTTGGCCTTACTGTACCCCCCCCCCACACACACACACACCTGCCCACAAAAACTGCTGCCCCCTCAACCCACCACTTCCCATGCCATCTGACCTGGCTGCTGCTGCTGCTCACTGCTCCACATTTTGTGAGCTGCACGTCCCACACTCTCCACCTCATGCCTCATTCATCCAGCACCGTTGGACAATATCAAATATTTTGTACTTTAAATGATTTTCATTTGTATTTTATTTGGTCTTTCTCCTCATAGACAATGCTATGTCTTACTGCCTCCCATTTGTAACAACTTTAACAAGTGCGCTATTCATCTGTTGATCTGGTCAAACTAATCACTTCACATCA